AAGCCATGAGATTTCTCAATAAGATATTGACAGTTCCTGCAGAGAAGGTACGGGCTCTTCAGAGGCAGGCACCTGTTTTGAGGAAGCAGCTGCTTCCTTCCTGGATTTTTAAACCACAGTTCAGCAAACATCCATCCAAATGCAGATGGGTAACAGGGGTACAGGCAGTGCTCTAACAAACTTTTTCCATACAGAGCTGCTATTGCTGAGTACTAAGCTTCTCTTGATTAGATGGACAGAGAACATCAACCAGCTCACAGCCATCTGCAAAAGCTGTACCCTGATTCCAAGGGTATACGGAGGCCTCCCCACTAGCTTCCCAGCTGGCTGGTTCATAAAGGCAAGCACATGCCAGGAAGGACAGAAAAGCAGACCGAAGCTCTCAGTACTTCATACAACCCGACACATGACAAACTATCATGGCCCTGCTCCTCATATCCCTACTGCAAGGATGAGCAAAAGGGAAGAGAAAGACTACTCTCAGACATTTCTAACCTCAGAAAACCAAGACTATACTGGAGCTCAACATTCAGCCTATGTGTAAGATCAGTAATTACCACACGTGTTTGAAGCCATTCATTTTCTTGAGCTGTCTAGACTAGCAAAGCTCTAGGGTGGGAAAAGGAGCATTCACTGGAGAGGGAGGGAATATGTTTAGCACCCTAACTACAGGCAAGGATGGTTTTCTCCAGCAAGATCCTTCCTACGTAGTTTCTGAGCCATCCAGAAGGTACTGAACTGTGGCTGACAGGTGCCATCAGTGTCCTTATCAGTAGGGACAAACCAGAGCCTCAGGGGCAAATCCAAGCCTCAGCTCACAAAACTATCAGCCTTTCAACTGAAAAGTTATCTACTGTCGCTCTCCCCCACCTTTGTTTCCCTTTGTTGTTGCTTTCAAAGTCTCGCCAGCATCCCCACCCAAGCTCTCACATTTTCCCAGGCTTCACCTTTCTTGCATCTACTCTATTCCTTGCTCTTTACCCATACGTACCACCATAAAGCATTCCCCCTGCGTGGCCACCCTTCCTACCAGGAGCAGCAGAGCAGTCAATGAGCTGAGACTTGGCACCACATTCATTGGGACTCCAGCTTAATTTTTATCTCCTCCCCAAGCTCCTGAATCGATGCCAAAGGGAACGCTCATTTTGGCAGTCAAGTCTCCCAGAAGAAAAGTTACAGCCAAAGTGCTGGGGGTGGGACCAAGCCAGCCTATTAATAGGTTGATTATAATATGAATTTGGGGAACTAATCCCAAATATGCTTACCCTCCCGGACCTAGGGCCCTCAGGGGTGGAATGAAATACCTAACTCAGCACTTTCAGCTTCTTTGCTGCATTTGGAGCCAGGGAGGGTGGAAAATCCTGTCTGTACCCTGCCTGGCAAAAACATGGTTTTCCAGAAGGGTGGCTGAGCTGTTGTTTTCTTCCCTTCTCCCCCAGAAAGCCTGTTTTCCTCATACTTACATAGCAGCTCCCTTTGCCTCATCAGAAGAGACCTACAATTTGAAAGGTTCCACCTTGGATTAAAAAGGTTGATATCAACAATTTTCCTGTGGAAAATCCAGAGCTACTCCAAGAAGCAACACTGAACAAGACTGGGACAGGTTGCCCAGAGAGGTGGTGGATGCCCCATCCCTGGAAGTGTTCAAGGTCAGGTTGGACGGGGCTCTGAGCAACCTGATCTAGTTGAAGATGTCCCTGCCCACGGCAGGGGGGTTGAACTAGATGACCTTTAAAGATCCCTTCCAACCCAGACTATTCCATGACTCTATGATAAGATGTCTCAAGAGCCTTCTCGCCACCAGCTTCTCCGGAGCACACTGGACTGTTGAGGAAGACAGACTCCACGGACAGCCAGGGAGCAAAACATTTAAGATATTTGAGAGCATGAAGAGGACAAAAGACTGGACTGATGCAGCAAGGTTTTGATTTCAGGAGGCAGTCAGATTGCTATACTTGTTAAAGCATGCTTCCTCCTTCCAGGTGGCAGCCCACAGCCTAAGACCCTTTTAAAAGCGCTGGGTGAGGCAAACATGCATGGTGGCAAATGGAGAGCCCAGACGCAGCAACAAGTAGTATATGCATACTCCATCATAGCTACAGCCACCTCTCCAGCACACCCACAAGGCTGCTTCTTCAGTCTTCCTGAATAATCCACACTGTCCTTGCATGTCTCCACATTTTCCCATTCCAGCCCCATGCCTCAGCCAGAGAGCCAACCAGAGCCAGAGCCAACCAGAGGCAGAAGGCAGCCCCTTGTGACCCTGACTGACATTTCACTGACAAGCATGTCAAGACCTTTATGGAAACTTTGCAAAATTATGCTGCAAAGATGTTCAAAAGTTCCTACGTTTCTCATGTTTTACATAAACATCTCACGATCCTAAGCCTTTAGAAGGTGAAGGAGATACCGACTACATTCACTTCTTCCAGTGTTTGTCACATTGGGGCCACACTGTATCAAGACCAGCAGCTCTTACCATTTACACACAAGTAACTCTCCCTGTTGCTTGTAGTGAGAGAAGGAAAGAGAATGAACTCTCCCTTAGTTGGGAGACACTTGGCCGCTGATCAAACCTACACAGTTTTACCTTTACATTAGTAAAGATGGAAAGACACACAGGCTTCAAAACACGTGTCAATACACATTATACTCATCTGTCAGAAACTAAGGAAAAAGCAACACTAGTTTACCATTATTAGACACGCTTGATGAGACTCTCCGGTAACACAAGACATTGAAGCATCTACATGCTGCATGGTTTGGATTCAATATGCCAAACAAAATTGCAATCAGCTTGCCAACAAATGAGAAGTTATTAATTTTCATACATCTCAGATTTCACCCTAGGTTTTACAACTCTTTGCTGCCCTTGCATCACCCAAGGCATTTCAAAACCTTGCTGCAAAGAGAGAATTGGAGAGAACACTGTTTCTAACACATGTGCTATTAAATATTTAGTCCTTGACTCTCGAGCAAATTCTTTGCCTCCGATGGCAAGATTACTTACATGGTTAAAGCCAGGCATGCAGACTTTGGCAGGCATAGGATCTTAACTCCTCTGAATGCAAACCCACAATCTACCACCAAGCAACCAGCAAACTCTCTCTCAAACCAAACCTGCACACTGTGTGTGTATATATAGGTATATACAAACATACATGTACTGAACTTTCTGTGCAGAATTATGAGAGAACTGCCCCGGCACACCTCAAGGCATAAAGCTGTGACACAGGGGAACTCTTTGGTAGTCATCTCTTCATCCCCCTAGTCTTAAAGGCTATGCTGGATCTGTCACTTACCACAGAGGAATTTTTAAGTTTAAAAAAAAAATCGGTTTCACACAAAAACCAACAGAGATTAGTTCATTTTTTAAACCCTGAAGGTGACCTTTCATTAAGTCAATGGGAGCACTTCCATTACAGAAGAGGGGCTCTCCTTCACATTTTACAGAGAAGGAAAATACTGCAGAGTCCAGACCTAGTTCACCCAAAAGGCCTTGAGTTCTTCCATTAAGCCAGAAACAACATCCAGGATTGAACTCCCAGACTTGAGCTTCAACCACTAAATCTGCTTCAAAGCAATTCCATTGCTAAGCTAATGGCTACAGGAGACTCTTCCTACATCCACTTAAACCAGCAGACACTAATCTCTCCATCTGCAATAGATACGCATGCCATAGGGGTCTGGACAGGATAAGCAGAACAGATGTTTAAGTGCACATACAGTCTGGGGAATCATCTTCAGAGCTCAGCTGCTAGCTTCACAGGGCACAGGAACTAAGAGATTTCTAGAGAGCTTCACAGGACACGGGAACTAAGGAGATTGAGACACCTGTCCTTTCTTGTACCTTTGCTGAGGGAAGCATTAACCCCAGCAGGAAGGTGGAAGCAAGCATGCATGCGTCATACCTATGGATATTGCACAGCTCCCAAACACTCCCAGATACATCTGACCCAGCAAAGTGATCCATACCTATGACAAAAAGAGCATCATGCTACAAAACCAGACCAGGAGCAGCGTAGCACTGCCAAAACACACCTACATGTGCCCCAGTACTCATTAAAAATACTATTCCTAAGTGCCTGAACCATCGGGAGATTTTGGCTGCATCA